TAATTTATAGTATAATTGATTTTAAAGACCCTTGGTTCCTGCTGAGGGAGAAATCCCCACTGTAATCACTGAAGAAAACAGTCATCAGGTTGCTTTCCAAGGATTCCATCATGACTCTCAGAAGCAGTTTAGCCATGTGGCTCTGTACAGTGAGTAGTAAAGGCTAATTAATCTGAGAGCAGTGCTGTCATAGTGTAGCTATTCTTGAACATCCACAGCGAGCTCACCTCTATTGCAGGGATTTCTGCATCACTCTTTACTGTGTCACATGCTTGGATGACTTGAAATAATCGGAATTAGCCATTCAGTTTTTGAGATGTTGTGAATTCAAAATTGTTTAAAATATTTAAGGTGCCATGCTCACTAAAAAGAAAAAAAAAGAAAAGAAAGAAAAATAATCACAAAAGTTACATTAAACTTATGGGACTCATTCATACACATTTTCATACATGTTTTGAGATTTTAAATGCCTCCAGGCTATAACTAAGGAAGTTGGAACATTTTTTTAATCGTTTTAGGAGCTACAGCTTTGGGGAAAATATCACTTTTGAAACTTGCTATAAAATCACAAGTTAGCAGGTATACACAGGTCGTTTAGATCTAGCTCAGCCTTTTTTCTCGTGTTTCTTCCTTTTTAGAGGTGATGGAAGATCTCTAAAAGTGATAAGATCAAGTCAGATACCTTGCTTCTGAATTTAAGTACTTAGGAGAAGCTCAGGTACTATGATCAAGTGCTTTATAGAATGTGTGTCTTTTCACTCTATGTTGCTTGAAAAATGTTTTAATTAACTTACTAGTTGATTAGTGAGTTAATCTAAATTCTAAGACTAGTTAATTCTAACTAGTCTTAGAATTCATATGGACACCTCTGAACTTCATCACTGGCTATGTGAAATTCTCTGATACCATCTTTTTAATTCCTAAGATCTCTCAAGTGGTCGTGTTGGTTTTCAGAAAATAACTTTACTTGCAAATATAGAAAAACTGAGTTTTGGTGTTCAAGATACAGGGTATCCACACCGAATTTAACCTTGCTGTTTGAATCACATGCTGATTTTTTGTTAGAATAATATTGAGTAGAATTAGCTCTCTAGTGTTCTGCTCTGCATTTGCTACTTTTTTGATGTCATGAGGCTTGGATGAGATCTGAGCAGACACTTGAGATCCACTGTAGTCTGTCTGTTACCCTCAGTTTAGCAGGATGGTTGATCAGCTATGTCAGAGTGCTCACTCCTACCTCCTGAAGACCAGCATGCATGGTCCAGCATGCATGGTCCAGCTACAGCCAGCCAAATGGTCTCACAAAATGGACTGCTGTATTCTTCAACAGAAGTAGCATGTGCTTTAGATCTTAGGAAAATTTCTTCAGCTTCAATCCATTCTGCTAAAATGAAAGGCCAAACATAAAAATGAATGCCTCTAGTTTCTCTGATGCTGTATGACTGCATCGGCTGCTTTGGCACCAGCACACAAACAAATTGATAGATATTCAATATTAGTTTTACCTGGGCCACCTTCTTCTATAAGAAAAGCTTTTTAAGAGTAACCTTGTTTGGGATGACTTCTGCTGCCTGTCATTTCATTGTTGTGGTGGGAAATCAGCATACCTGAAGAAATTAAGTGCCCTTTAGGTCCCCTTTGTGTCTATGTGACAGGATTATCTAAATGTAGAGTTGTTAATTGCATGAAAGTTTTGAGCTTATTCCTTTGCTTCCTTCTGGTTTTGTGTAGTGACCCATAAAGATTTTTTTTACTTGCTACAAATAAATAATGTACTTTCAAGTTAATTCAAGTAAATTTTTTGTCTTTACCACTTCTTCTCCCTCCTACCCCCTAGAAAGGACTACAGTGTATTTAGCAGAAATCTCAACTACTTTCTCTTCTTTCCTCTTAGCAAAATAATTATGCTGTCCTTGCTCATGCAGAAAGACAGTTTTCCAAAAATTAGCTGTTGTTCTATGGTTTTAGTCTGAAAACTGAAATTCCTTAAGGGCTATGCAAGAAAAGCCCTGCATGCACTAGTGGGCCTTAATGGCCCTCACCAGCCACTTCAGAGGCCTACACTGCAGCATACCTTATTGTACTGACTTAGGCTATGTCTGCTGCAAGATTCAGCCTCCAGAGCAAATCATCAGTATAAGGAATGGTTTTGTATAGCAGTATTTTTGTGATTCTTGTTCTGCAGAAATTGAAGCCTGACCCTGTGTTCAGAAGCTCAGAACCGTTTTTTACTCCTCTATGTTTGTTTAAGTCCCAATCTCACCTCTGTTTGGAGCAATATTTAAAAATTGGCCCATTGGCACATAGACAAAGGGTATATGGTCCACTTTACCTCTCTGTAGCCTCTGTACCGGCCTTTCTGTCTCTTTTCAGAAATTCTTCTCGCAAAGTAGTTTTTTAACAACATGTTGTTAGGAGACACTATGGAAGTCCTGTTGATATTTGCCTATACCCAAAGATCCTGCTGCAGCTATTTCCTTGTACAAGGACTACATGAATTGAAGTCAGACATGCAGAAAAAATCAAATTTCGATGAATGATAGCAAACTGCAAGTGGTTCAGAAAGGAAGTTGGTTTGTATCATGTAACTTTCTCCATGCTCCCTTCTATTCTGCAGGTAGACTGGAGTGCCATTGCTTCATGGCTGGCTGAGATAAGCTTCATGTGCTTTCAGTCACCCTGTGTGCAGTTCTCTGTGAATTGAATAGGGTGTTAACAACAACTTCAGACTGTTTACATCACAGAAGGGTGCTTCTCTTGCCATACAGTATTACCTGAGTAAATGGGTTATGTTAGTTCTCTGACTAACCATAAGTCATGAGCCATTTCCAACTTTTTCCAGAGTAACCATATTCCACTCTGTGAATATGGATGATTTTCTTCCTAACAGGTTGATGGCACTAAGGTTTGGTTGAACATACATCACAGTCAGTCCCCATGTCTATTTCACATCTGTCCACATGGAGACATGTTCTCTTAATGACGATTTCCTATAAGATTTACAAACCTGTTTTGATATTTTCTCTATGTCATAGCATTATCTGCTTAGCTCCTGGCTGTTACACAGTTTGTAAAGGTTTCTGTCCTGTAAGTTGTCCAATCAGAACAATGTCAGAAAAGAAGTGCCTTCTCCTCTGCTATAAAATGGATTATGATATGCTTGTTCAAGCAGCCTGGTCAGTGGTCTTCAAAGTTAAATGCTGCCATCAGTATTTTAAACCTAACAGTCTGGATGTATATAAGACCTCTCAGTTAAACTTTGGATACCCAGGTGTGTGCACACTATTTGATCATGAAGCACTGAATAAATGAGTTGTCAGTTCTGAGAAACAATAAAACTGAAATATACTTTGAATGATCATTGAAAGTAAAAGTTTTTACTTTTTTCTGAGTTTAGTATTATATTCTAAAAATAGTATTACTGTGGTATACCTTTGTCTTCTAGGTCCACTTTCCTTTCATTTGTGGCAATCAAATAATTGCAAGGTTTCTGTGTTCCTCAAGAGAGGAGGCAAGAGCATCACAAGGTTTTCAAATTATAGGAGATAGAACTAATCTTTCATTCATTTTTATGATATGTTTTGTGTTCTTACACCACAGACTCATGCAGTCATTTCATATCAGTTAAACTCAGATTATATTCTCTAGTTTTCAGGTAAGCAGTCAAGATCTCTGAATAGCAGAATGTGTTTTTTTGTAAGTTTAGGACTTAAAATAAGAAATCCAGTGATAAAGATATTATTTACTTGTTATTCAGAGATGAAAGGCACTAACAGAGGCAATTATGCATAACTCTTTTTCCATTCTTTGAAATGCAAGGGACTAGCATGAATACATCTGTTTGGAATTTTGAGGAAATTCAGATGTGGATGCAAAACTCGCATTTTAATCTCTAAGGCTGCAAAACTGGAATAGTAAATTAGGGAATTAGTATTCAGAGCTCAGCTCTGCTTCTTAGATCTATGTCTATTTAGAAGTGATTTGTGAATGCTTAAAAAAATATCTAGGAACTTGAAGAAAAAAGGACAGTACAGAGTATTTCAAATTTGCAAAGGTAAGAGAGATCTGTCACATGAAAATACATCTCAATCAATTTCTATTTGTTTTCGTCTTTCAGAGCTTCCCTTTCAAACTACTCTGACTCTCACTGTGACACTTTCTAGATAAACTGTTCTGCTGATGTTACATCTGCAACAGAACTGCATAGGAACGTGGTATCAGCTTGCCACAATTTGCATAGAAGTGCAAATCTGTTGCATTTAAAGAAATTATAAAATTAAAATACTTAAACCCATGTGGTTAGGTAATACTGAATTGGAAATATCTCACAGTCATTTATAGTCTGACTTTGCTCAAATCAGAGTTCCCTGGTTGATGTGACATGATTATATGTTATGATTACATGTGTTAACCTTTCAAAATAAAATGTTCAGTTTCTTCTTTTAAATACCAAATGCTTATAGTTATAATACTTGCTGATATTTGCTCACTGACAGTCTCACTTGTTTTCAAACCCCACATATTTAAAGTTGTGGAGTGTTAGATTGATGTTTCTTTTCACTCAAATGTCATATTCATCAACTGTATTGTGCTAGCAGATTGTTAAACAGACAAGGTGACTTGCAGAGTGACAACTGATGTGATGTCCCAAACCATTAGAATACAGTAATGACGTGTTTTTTTTCCTTTTCGGCTTTTGCAACACAGTGGGTTTTCTGTAAAACACAGGTGAAAAAGTTTCTGAGTAGATCCACTGCTTGGAAAAATATCCTAGTTAATGAATAACAAAACCTGGAATTCAATTGTAACTTCCAAGAGAATTAAGTAATGCTGAAGACTTAGGAAGAACTAATGTAACAGTATTTTATAAGGAGAAAAAGATACATTATACTGTAAGAAAAATCAAATTATGTGATATATTATATTGTTTTACATAATCAATTTTGCAGGATCATTTTTTAGGCTATAATAAATGTTATTTTATTATTTCACTTTAATAGCCTCCCAAGAATACCCCAGAAAAGGAAGGAACTTCTGCTTAACATTGTATCAACTCAAATGTCTTTCTCAACTTATCAAACTCTTCTTATTAATGGAGGAAAAAATTGAAGAGCTCTGTGCAGAAATTCTGTTGCTGCCTTCATTTATGGAGCGGAATAAGAACGTTCAAGGTAATCAATCAAATAATGTATTGATTTACTTTGTGCAAAATATAATTTTTTATGATTTTCAACATTACCTAAATTATATCATCATATTTTGAAAATAACTTTGTTACCATATCCACTGAAGAAATCTTTGTAATACGCAGATTTATATTTGAGCACAATGACTTGAGGAAAAGAACTCATAGCTGTATGTAAAGATGTGATGTACTGACTGTAGATAATGAATCATAATGAAAAACTATCAAACACTGTAACTTGACATTTCCTACTGAATTATCTGTAAAATCTTATGCTTCATATAGGACGCAACAATATATGGAGTCTGAATTCTTTGAAATTGACTGTTTCTGAACTTATCCTTGAAAGATGCCTTTTTCAAGAGAGAAAAGCACTGACTTGAACAACAGTTTAGTTGATCTTAGTATACATGCAACTAAATGTTTAAGAATATAGTCCTGGTTTAACCTGTAGTTCTCACAAACATTTACAAATATGTACTATGTTTACTAATATGCTTATCCCACTGGCTTTAGTGGGTGTTTTATAGAAGTAGGCTCTACATCAGTAAAGTGATCAGGCCTCGTTTGCATTTGCTATAGATTCCAAGTTCACTCTCTTTTTCATCTAATTTTATTCAGGAGAACCTGATATGAAAATGGAGGTGAATAACACCTTTCAGGTCATAGTAAGCTCATAAATGTTCTTCTACTCTACTGCTTCTGCCAGTAGAAAAACTCCAAGTCCCCAGAGACCAAGTTGTTTCAAGAGCTTTGATTCTATTGCAGGAAAAGATCAGACCAGAAATGAGTCCAGGCTGCTCAGGGAGAGAGGATAGGTGGAGTCAAATATTTACTCTCTGTGTAGTCAAGCTGCAAGCTGAGGAGAGAGGTGTTTTGGGAATATAGTCTTAGAATACTTAATTGATGAAAATAAAAATATTAAATGAGGCACGTATTTTGTTGACGGATTCTTCCTCTGTAATCCTGACATTCTGAAATAAAGAAGTACAGGTTAATCTATGTATTTTTAGACTATACGTCAAAGCTCTAATAAAATTTGCATTCAAGTTCCATTTTTGCTATTGGTTTCAGTGTATTTCTCCCTCCTTTAATCTCTCTGTTTTACTAATTCCCAAGAAATGTTAAGCTGTTATACATTATGATTTACGTTTTATGGCCTTGATCCTACAAAGAGGTGTTAGAGTAAACTTCTCATATTGTGGAGTCCTCCTCATGTGTAGGACAGGGTACACATTCGGTAAGAGTGATTGTAAGTCTTTTTATTAGTATATTCTGTGATAAAGTGTAAAGAAGTTGAAAAACTCTTGAGTGGGAAATTTATTTGACATTTAAATAACTACACTCTAAGACGTGATCTCCAGTAATTCAGAGAACTTAAAGAACTCAACATTAATAAGAAATAATTTACTTTCCAGGAAGTGTATTTAGGACTTTATCCTACAGGCATTTTTCCAAGCTTAATTACATTCAGAACTGTTTCTCTAAAGTATGTTAAGCCTCCTTCTTTGAGGAATATTCTTTAAGGGTAATTCTGTCTATGACAAGTCAGTTCTTAATTGGTACCTCTACTTAATAAAATCTGAATGGGAAATATTATTAAATCTTATTGGAGGAGAGAGTCTTTGGGTAGAAACTGCATTCTATAAAAAAACCATAAAATTACTTTTACCCTGAAAAACAAGTGAAGGTAAATATTTTACAGGTGCTTTTAGTGAAGTCTTCAGACATAGCTTTGTATTTAGTGTTGCGGTTCTGATCAGGTGGTTCTATTCACAAAACTTTGCTAAGTTTTATGTTTACAGGTAGTATGTAAAAAGAAGACATGTCCAGAGAAATTTTTAATAAGATGTCTGACTAGAAGAAGGGTTTATTTGTGTTATTTTCACTTCATATTGTCAGAAATCTCAGTTGTAGTGATGAAATGAAAAATTATTTAATGTGGGAGAATGAGAGCTATATTTCCAGTAGTTACAGGCTCTGTTAAGTACCAAAAGGGATTTAAGATTTTCTCTGTTAATATCCTATATTAGACTGATAATCTTATTTTTGTCACTGAAGACTGAGTTTTGATAAGAAGGATAGATTAGAATCCTTGTTTTATTTCATCAGAACACATTATAATATATGACTAGAAAATATAATTGCCATCTTCTGTACTTATTTAGAAGCCTTATTACTAGAAATCTTGTTTAATTTAACAAAATCTAGAGTGTAGATATGTCCAAAGCAGCTTTAAATTAACTGGAGTACCAGTATCAAGTTTACAGTGCAGCACAGACTTCAGAACCAGCCTAAGAAGCAGAGCAAATTAGCCCAGATTCAACCATGTGCTGCTGGTACTAGACAGTTACCTGTACTCTCAGTGGGTTAAAGCTAGGTTGGGTGTATCCAGTCTACGCTTCAGTCAGTGCAGTGAGGGATATCTGAAGTATCAGTCCTCTGCAAGTAGTACTGCTGGCAAATTAGGGGAAACTGGCCTGTTCATAAAAGGTAGGCTAATGTCCAAGTGAACTAAAGTTTCCCTAGACATCACATAGATGGGAACCTTGCACTTGCTTTCTTTTTTTTGGTTGCTTTTAGTATTCACAGGAGTCTTTTATCTATATAACTCATGCAGAGATGCAACAAAAATAGCATGTTTTTTCATGTGCTTGTGTCAAGTGTTGCATTTATGTCTATAGCTGTTTCATGGGCACTTTTAATTGTTTTTTTTTTGCTTTATATCCCATAGTACTTCAATCTTGATATTTAGAACATGTGTCAAGTTCCATCAGAAACAAAGTAGTTCTTTGGATGGTTCCTCTTTTTAAATTTTTTTTTGTCCCAAAGATGGCATCTGAGTTTTATCTAAACTAGTCAGTTTCTTGGCCCTCATTTTTCCCTAAACCCAGCAATGACAAAGAGCAATGGCTGCATAAATTGGATGTAAGAAGAACACTTAGGGTTTATCACAGAAGAATCAAAGATTTCATATCTTCTGACAGATTGTTTGTACTCTTAGGGGGTCTTAAGAGGGGTCAAATGGCTTCTAAGAGTTGCTTAGCTAGATGGTTAAGGGATTGTATTAGGGAGGCGTATGTAGTTAAGGGTAAAGAGACTCCCAGGGTTTGTAAAGCTCATTACACTAGGACTATAGCTGCTTCTTGGGCGGAGAGGTCGAAGGCTTCCACATTGGAAATTTGCAAGGTGGCCACCTGGGCTTCTCTTCATACTTTTTCATTGCATTATCGCTTGGATGTAGTCTCTTCTGCAGATTCTGCTTTTGGTAGGAGGTTGCTTGTGAACCAAAAAAAGAACAGTGAAGAAAAGAAAGACATGTAGTTCAGAGTTCTAGCTGGCAACAAGACAAGTTTCTTTGCAGTGTGCACAATGGAATCCTATGAAGACCAATTTAGGCGGTTGAAAATAGATATTAGAGGGAAGTACTGCCTACCAGTGTTCTCTGATGGTAACCCCATGGCAGACAATAGCACCAAAGGAAGCAGTGAACCAGAGTGAACTCTGTAGGGAGATGGATGTAGAGAGTTTTTTTAGGTGATACGGATATGTCTCTGAGTTCAGTTTGAGAGTTCTGTATCTGGCATCTTCTGGAATATATTCAGAATCCTCATTTTCACAAATTGTCTTTTATAGATTGCAAAAAAATTCTCTGAATTGCATTTTCTACTCTTCTTTTCACTGTTCTCCATCTAGTTCTTCCTGATTTTATATTTCTGACTTGACTTTACCAGAGCTATCTTAGCTTCTATCCGTCAATGACCAGTATGTACTTACCAAGTTTTGAGCTTGATTTCAAGTTGCATTTGCGTTATTTAAGCACAATTTTAAAGAAACGTGGTATAAATACACATTTTATCTACTGCTAGTGTATTGTTCAAGTTATGCCTTAAATCATATAAAAGGAGGAAATAATGAAAAGTTCTTGGATGATGATGTGGTTTTGTTCCATCCCTGAACTTTAGCTTGGCATCTGGACAAGACTGCTACTCTGCCTTTCAGAGGAAAGGTATCTGTATTTTTCCAGCATATATTCTCAGTGTTGCATAACTTTGTTCCACTACAAGCATTAGATTTCATAAAATTAAAGGAGTGACCACCTTCTGTTTTTTCTTGACTAGACATTTAACCCTTTCTTCTGCAGGTATCTGGTCATCCCTACTGTGATGAGACAGTCTGCTTCTCTATTTACATTCAGTTGAATTCTGAGTTGTTCTGACATACCTAGTACTTGCAGCATCACAGGGGTTATTCTCTTTGAAGTAATCTGGAACATGTTCAGCTGCAGTCAAGGGTTAAGAAGATTTTGGTTTAGAATCCTGCCAAATTGAATTCTCTTCCCATCTTTAAGGTAGATTTGTCTTTCCTCTGGGTTTTCAGAAGCCTCTTATTGAGAGTTTTAAAAAATCTAAAGTACTAATGTACTTTCATCTGTCTCACTATTTTTTTTTTCCATTCCAGTGAGAAAGGTGAACTTTGGACAGATCAGATAACAAGTATCAAGAAAGGCTTTTTCTGATGGAGCGCTTTGAAAATACTGTAGGCAAAGTTGTCAAGCCCTTAGATTTATAAGCTTTGCCTCACAGGACTGGAAGGTTTGCAAAGGTCTTTCCTTCACACCGTAAGAAGAAATCCTTAATTCTATATTCATTTCTGGAAAGTGTAGTAAAAGTAGTGTGAAATTAAATTTACGAGGTGCATCCTCTTAATAGGTGCATCCTCTTTTATTGCCAAGTTGCAATATTGCAAAAGTTGCAAAGATTGAAGAAAGTTGTGATTTTTTTGCTTTAATCTCAAAGCAAGATGTTCAAGTAGCTTCTTTAAGAAATACATAGCTGCAACGGATCAATCGAAAGTGAAGATGGAATTTACACTAGGATACATTTTCTGTATTTGTGTTATGACAGTTTGCTCAGTATAGTACAGCAGATAAAAAGTCCATTATTGAAGATAGAAAGCAGAATGGGTTTTTGATCTATAGCTAGT